CTCAGACATAGTTTATCTAGGGGAGATTTCCTGTGATGAGCTGTGCGATGGGATGTAGTGTTGACATAGTAGACCTCAGATCTCTCTGCCTGAAGTTGTAAAGACTAACCATTTGGACTCAGGAGGGCTTCAAGTCCCCACAGGAGGTGTGCTGATATACCATGGCCATGTAGTAATTGAAGACAGTCAGGTTAGAATTGAAATGCCATCATTGCCATCTGAAACAGTTTTCAGCTGGTAACCAATGCTGCCAGTTGCTCAAGGACACGCCTTCAAATGCCATATTAGCACACACCAATGAACCCTTAGCAAACTAAATAAGGCCCTTTGAGCACCAGGTCCTGTATTTTAAAGCCACTCTCATTGGCATAATCTAAGATTGGCCTCCTCTGCTTCTAAATGGCATAGATGTCCTGCGGGCAGAGCAGGAATCCCTGCCTGCACCTTCTCCACCAGGAGCAGTTGTTGGACATACCAGTAATGTGTTTGGAGATCCAGCAAACAGGATGTAGATTGGATGCTGCTGTGGTAAGACAAGAACTTGCCCAGAAGGAAACTACTCTAGAAGGAGAGTGATTGCCATTGTAGTTGTTACTCCAATACTAGTTTTCCTTCCAAGTTATCTATGTCCCAACTAATTTCCTCAAACCATTTCTATTCCCTTTCTTGTACCTCAAAACACACACTTTGTTTCAAGCTATTACACAGCCAATGAAGAACTGGCTACCTGGCCTGTCTTATGATGAAATTTGGGAACTCGCTTTTGTGGACATGCCCCAAATGTTTGGCTGAAACTGAGCACTCCTATTAAGTCTGCTGTTTGGGACAGTTTGACAGCCATGGAATGTGCCCAGCCACCAGCCTAGATTCGCCTCTGGGCTTTTACCATGAGCTCACCCTGAAATGTACACACGTGGATGAGATTTGGCTCATATAAACTTTTAAAAATTTAACCTTTTGACTCATTCCTGATTGTAAAGTCAGTCCAGGGAAAGTGCATCTTATATTTCAAACATAAAATCTTCTTTTCCGCTTAAATAAAGGGCACATTCAAAATAAAATGGTTCAGGATTTGATCTTGGCAATTCAAGAACACCTACTGTTTTCTTGTGACTCTGGCAATTGCTTTCCAAGAAAACCTTTGCAATACAAGAGAATACAAACTAATTTACCATTTCTGAACAGCATAAGGTTAGCTGTTTTACTGAAACAAAGTAGTGTTTATCAACAGAGCTCAACTGCTATGTGTTATACCAAGACTAGTAAATATGAGGCATGATACCACTGATTACCTGAATGTATGTGGGTGCTTAGCACAAGTGCTGAGTGACTGGTGGAAAACTTCATTTGTTAAGCAAATGGCTTGAAAAAATGAAACAACTAGGTGATTTAGCAAGTAATGTGTCATTTTAGTTACCTTTTCTTACATTTCTAGTCATTTATTTAATGCTTTGGGGTTTTTTCTGCTTCTGCTATTCAGAACTTTAAGAAAAATCATTATATTGGTTAAATATTTGGGCATTACTAAGAATTACCCAGAATGTACAATCTACCTCTTGGTTATATGAGCACATGGAGTCTATAAATCCATTCAATCAGGCTGCAGGGTTGGGACCTCCACCTACAGGGTATCAGTGACATTCAGTGGCAGTGCCTAAGGGGTGAAGGTCTATCTTACTCTTTTCTAATACTTAAGTATGCATTATGAAATATGTACTGTTAAAACAAAGGGCTCAACAAAATTTCTGGGGCTATTTCTTAGCCCTTCATACACACATGCAGAATGCAAGTAAAAATTGTGACCTTGTAAAAAGGATGCCTTTTGCAGATTTGACTACAGCTATGGAGTAATTTCATTCATAAGAGGTCATCAAGAAACTTTCCCCTCCCCACTCAAATAAACTTGTGTCACTAAACCAAAGAATCCTGACTTTCATAGGCTACCCAAAGCCAGGTTTCATGGTACATCCCAGAATAAATCACAAATAACAATCTTTCTCCCTTCTCTCATAAAGTTTGCCAGTTTTCTTTTATAGCTTCATACTCAAGATGTGGTCATAAATTTGAATTCCAAGCCATTTGCTCCAACTGTCTTTTTAATATTAACAAAAGAGTAGCAAGGAGAGAAGCAAAATAAAAGAAACAAACAGAACAAGCAATGCAAAGTAAAAGGACTCTAATGAAAGCAGTAACTTACTGTAGCTACTTTCACTATCGCTGGCATTAGAAGAAACATGTTCTGCAAGAACAGTACAGCAAATTAAAGAACATAACCAAGCACCACAGAGCTGCAGAAACTTAAAAGAACTGCCACAGTCATGCAAAGGCAGTTACAGAGAAGAAATAAAAACTGTGCAGTGACATTATCTGAAAACACTCAGAGAATTTACACAGGTAAAATGAAAGCTTTCTCTCTTGCGGCATTTCAGAAAGCGACTATATGTATTAGCTAGTGATATGTATCATAGCAAAGCCATGTCTTTCTGATGAGACAATAAATGACATCTCAGGTAACTTCATTTCAATGTATGTTATGGTCATCTTGTATCTCACTGGAAGTTTTGAGCAATTTCTGGAAATCTAACTGTCTGCTCATATTATTCTGCACTATCAGTAACATGCATCATTAATGCATTGGAACTATTTCTGCTAAACTTCTAACCTGTGTTCATCTTTAATCACTATGTGCTACCCCAAAGGGTTAACAAATGAACACATAAGTTGGCTGGATATTACATAAAAGGGCAAGCCAAAGCCAATGATAAAACTAGCAAAAAATGGAAGGAGTCTTTCCAGACTTTTTCTAGCTTCAGGATTTAAGCTGAAGTATGAAAAGCTTTACCAGATCAGCCTGGATGGGTGAACAGGGATATAAAAACTATCATGATGGGTCAAACTTGTGGTTTGCAAAGTCAGGTGTCCTGTTTCTATTATCATAATTTTGGAATGAAGGTGCAAGCTATATCATGTAAAGTTGCTGTTCCAAAACTGTAGTCAGCAGACTATTAATGGTCAGTCAGACCATGACATATGATCTCCAGGAGGTTTGCAGGACCACATTAGGCAGTGGTTTTAATATTATCTCTGGTAGAAATGCTGATTACTTTGCACCTGAAAGATTCTTTGACAGTTCAAACTTTTCAGCTGGTCCAGGACATTTAGAAGCCAATGGCATAATGGCTGTACACTTGGGAGCACCCTGGGTTAATGAGAAACGCAGCAACAGAGCCAAGAGCAGCTGTTCTCTGTAAGGTGCTGCACTTTCCTCATGTATCAATCTAATGGCTTAGTGCTCATAGATTGGGAATGATGGTGCTCTGAAGGAGCAGAAATGAGAGGGAATGATATCTGATAAAAACAGTAATGGAAAACCTTGATCTTGGGCTTAGGATGAAGGTTTAAAAAATTAAGCTTGCATTTTGAAGAAAACAGCGTATTGACTTTTGGATATTTCATAGCAGGTTAACAAGGGTTATCTCAAGCTAATATGCTACACAGAACCTTGAAGAACTTAGCTAAAAAGAATAGCCCTCATAGTAAGAATTGTCATTAAAAAGCATCTGTGAGTTGAATATTGGTAAAATTTAGATGGATGGGAATGTCTAGAGGTGTGTCAGTAATTGAAAACTAGGTGCAATATTACTAGAGAAACTAGAGCCTATATAATACCTCTGTGTTACTTTGTCCTATATCTATTTGCAGAATTCAGTTATCTACTTTAAAATGGCTGGATGTTATGTGGATTTGCCTTTGCAAGGACACAGATATTCAGGAGGTTTATCAGATCAGAAATATTTTACTTTTTTTTTAGCAGGGAAGGATCTGCATTTGTTGCTAATGAGCTGCTATGACACTTCAACGACCGCAGAATGGTTAAAATTCACATGGCAGTGATATTTGCTGTCTATCACTGACAAAACTAGCCTTGCAGAACTGTTCTTCCTTGTACAAGAGATGAAGCTTTCATCTTTAAATTGTGAGCTACTGCATGGCTTAAAGTTAAACCATTAAAATGTCTCTTCGACAAATCAGTCAAAAACAGAACAATCTCCAAAACTGTGTGCATGGATGTACATTCCTGCAATTAAAAAGCACATACAAAACAGAAGGCGATGCAGCATTAACATTCACACACATTTTGCTCCAATTACTTGGTGCTTAAGAAAAAGAATAAGAACCAAGGAATAAGCAGCCAAACACATGCAAGTGACATTTTGTTTAAATTATTTAGGTCTGGATACAAAATATAATGTAGCTATATATGTAGAAATCAGCTGCAAAGATTTCACTCTATACAGTTTTTCTTGTCTTTCAAGGAAGAAAAATTGTTTCTGAGCAATGATCTGACATATTACACATTCTGCAATGCCAAGTCTTGAGACAGGATTGCTGCATCAGAAAAAGAAGTTGACTAAGACTGCATGACAGAGAATAGGTTGCTAATGGTGAAATGGATCCGAAATCATCTTTGGAGAATGTATGGTCTTCTCTAGCCTGCAAATGACTTCTTCCATTAATAACAAATGCTAATCTAAAATCCAGCAAAGTAACAAACACTCCCATGCAAAAAGCTGAAAATGCAGAAGCAACAGCATATACTAATTTTCTATTGATCACCTCAAGATGTGATTAAGTTAAAATGTTTAAATTTCCCTTTAGATGGAGAGGGAGGGATTGTTGCTGAAAGAACAGTCTAGGCAGCAAAACGCGTTCTAGGTATGCTACTCTACAGAACTGCCATGATGGGAACAATAACATACTGTCAGAAACAAAATGTGTTATTACAAAAGAAGTGAAAGTGTTTGCTTGATACACTGTATGTTATTTAATATTGTCATGCAGAACGAAACGATCGAAACATTTTTAATGCATTCACAGCTGGGTAACAAATAAAACTCTATCTTGTGCATGCTAGGAGTGGAGGGTCCTCAGAGAAGGAACAGAAGCCAAAACAAAACAAAACAAAAAAGGGTTTACAGTGACCATTCCTGGGAACTTACTCAGAGTCTTTGTTCCATAACCGTCGTCACCTAATCCGGGGATGTCCTGCACGGAAGTCCCCAGAGAGAGCAATGAGAAAGGAAGAACAGCCGCAGAAGAGGAAGGAAGAAGTCAGTGGAATTGAAATGGATACTACCATGACTGACCATGTTGATTGAGCAATCTGGATCCCTGCCTTTTCTTTCTGAAACAAATTTAGACCCATATACTATGGGAATTCAGCCAATGAAAGAGGCAGTGACCGTGGTACATGCCTTTTGGAGCTGTGAGGAAGAAGGAACAACCAGACAAATAAAATTCCAGAAACTCTCCTCACTGGATAAATTTAGGAGAGAATTATTAAGAAAAAAAGTGAATATTTGGGCTTGGAACTAGCATATATTTTTAACAATGCTAGCTCTCTATATAATTTAAGCAAGCAGTAAAGGCTTGTGGAGGTACACATTCCAAGATCTGATTTATTTCAAGCTGTTAGCATGGTTGCTTCATTTAATTGTCAAACTTTCAGTGAAGTCGCTCATGGCAATCCACTTGGAGAATGTCAAAGGCAAAAAGGAGATTAGAACAGACCTTCTAAAAAGTAATAGTTTAATTTAATATTGTGAAAGAAATCACATTTACATTATTTTGAGCCAATTTTGATTTGGGAATATTTATAAGAGACAAGTTTAGATTTATGACAGATGCCACAACAATTTTGAGGAGCCACATTTGTGCTTCCAAAAGTTAAGGTCACTGCTTTATTCTTCTTAAAGTGGTATTTCCATGGATGGAAGGACCAGCTGGATCCAAACTGCAGTCATACATTGGTCACAGTAGTAATACCTCTCCTGCCTGCCTACAACAGATATTTGCCTAGATGTGTGGGATACTGCTACCATGCGTGTCACCCATTTTTTGTGCTGCTGCATGTGACATCATCTCCAAGAGGTTACTTACGTTCTGGATCACTTGTTTCCTGCTCACTCTGCTCCTTGCTCTTGTAGAATGGGAATTTTCGTGAAAAGATGAAGTTCTTTTTACGCTTGTCATTGAATGACTGTGAAGGAGAAAAGGCATGGGGCAAAAACAGGGACGTCTAATTGTTGTCACACTCATGCTGACAAAACAACTAGTTTGTAAAAGTGGAGACAACTGTAGTGACTCATATCAGTACAAACCAAGTGGCTGCAAAGAATCAGAGGGGGTTGTGGTGAGGTCTGCAGGTTGAAGCCAAAGCCCCTGGAGACTGGATCAGTTTGGTTACAGAGGTCTCAAGTCACAACCTTCAGCTACTTGGAAACTACCATGTTTGGCTTGTTCAGATGAAGTGCTACAGATGGTTTATCATGCTTTGAGATCAAGCTACTCATCTTTAATTGTAGCAGACTGTGCACAGAATTAACTGGTTGAAAAAGAATGGACTGTAAAGAGGAAAGCGGAAGCCTTTGATTTGCTTGTAGTAGGTATGTGTATTCAGTTCTGTGCCAATTAAAACAAAAAAGGTTTTTTACTGGTAGCTGTTGCCAATTTAATATTTTTTTTTTAATTTGGCCTCTTAATTGACAGCTTCTTAAGTGTGTTTTAATGCTTTTTTGGAGGGGCATAATTAAAAAAATACTTTTATGTTTTTATACATATGCGCTTTTACTCATCACGTTCCTCTGGATATACTTGTAGTTTTACGTGATTTAGAGATGGAATTCTGCTGCTAAGTATAATTCATTGCATGTTGAACAGTATACATTGCCTTAATTCTTCAAATGGGAAATTAATATGGAAGAAATTGGTTTTTTTTTACATGACTTTACAGACAGTCACAAGGAGTCATAGCAATGTATTATGTAAAACCAGGATATGCCTACTTGGGACATTTATTTCAGGTACTAAATAGGGAAATAGGGTCCCTATAGAGTCACTTGAGAGAAGCTGGCATTTCCAGAGGGTGTCTATGCAGAGCTGCAGATACTGTGTGTCTGAAGTGATCTGTGTTGTCAGTCAGACAATGTCCTATACTATCTCTCATACTGAGCATATAGAGTGCCAAGACACAGAACTGTGCAAGTGATCACCTCCAAGAGAGCAGAGACCTTCTTAACTCATTTGAAGGACCAATCTCATGTGCTTGTTATTGTTCAAATTAAATATAACCAGTATTTGGCTCCAATTCTGAAACTGAATATATTCAGAGTCTCAGAATGTAATTTATTTTCTTACATTTTGGAAGCACAGTATAAAATGTGGTTTAGAGCATGTATTTCTGAAAGATGTGTACTGAAAAATCTCCATTAGAATAGTTGTCTACTTGTGTCACGAAAGTTTCATGCCACTTTTACATTTCAAGCATATTTAAAGTTTAGTAACTGAAAACAAAGGAAAAAAATGCACATGTAGAATAAATGATCCATGAAAATCTCTCAGAGTATGCAAACATTCAATGTGAAATTAATGTGGAGTTCATGCACAAATAATCCAGACAGCATGCAATTTCAAAACAAAGCAAATATGAAAGAAAGCCAGAGAAAAAAAAAAAAAGCACATGAAGGATTAAAGTAATCTGTGGATGAAAGGAGGACTGACATGCACATTACATCACTTTAATGACCTGAACGATATAATTAAATTAAAATGTGTTTTCTGTGATTATTTGTTTTATTTTTCCAAAGAACGGAATGTAGCATGTTAACATTTCCATTTGTGAAAATGTTGTTTGTCACAATTCATCTGAATTTGACATAGTAATACTATAGGCATCACACTTTTAAAGGGAAACTATATATATAGATACAAAATGACACCTCAAAAAGCAAAGGGGTTTTAAAATGACAATCACTTCATTAGAGAATGCCATTTCACTTTGGAATTCAAGAGAATGTTATCAAACTGATAAATAAATATGCTGTGTTTTACCGAGAGTATATAAGAAATAACACTTATATGTATTCTTTTTCAATTCCCCCCCCCCAAACAGCCTAGAGTAAAAACTTCAGAAAGTACATTTTCACCAGAAAAGCATGTATTTTTTTGTCATGTTTATGCATTATCTAACAGTATATATCAAGTTAGACATATGCTATAGCATTATATAAACTTTTTCTCCTTTTGCAGTTTCAAGTACTGGGTTGCTTTTTTTAATAAGATATTGTTCCAGTTCGGTTTGGATGACAAAAATCTGGCAGTTCATAGCAGATGACTATTATGTGCAACTGTGTCACTGCATTTGCACTGGTAAAATACCTCATTCCTAAAATAAAGCTGACTCTAGGTATATTAATATCCATAACCAAATATGTTTATGCATATGATAATATTTCTATAGATTAATCAATGTGTATATTCATGTTAATACATACTATCATAGTGTAGTCAGAGGGTTTATCTTTAAAATAACAAAGAAACCACAAAATATTATAAAACAGTAAAATGGGTCTGATTTTGCAAACTTATAGAAATAATTAGTCCTTGCTATTAACTGAATGGTCCTTGGTATTAACTTGATTTTGGTTTCGTATGCCATATAAATGGGAATAAATTCAGGCTGATGGTCTCCACCTCACAGGCATGAAATCCTGCAGACACCCAGTAACCACTTACAGCTATCATGATTTATATCTCTAATGTATAGAGACAAGGGGCTTGGCAAAGAGAGAAGAGGGAGACTCATACAAAAAAAACCAACATGTTTCTACTGGACACACTGTATGGTGCTCTGTTGGTGGAGGAGTAGAGACCAACACTTAATGCATCTTTTCTTTTTAAAGACAGGATCATTCATGTGAGGAATTGTAGCAAGGTAAAACTGCAAAATTCAGATGTATATTTGAGAAATTTTATTTCTATATAATGTAAACCTGTCAAACACTCTGGAGCCAGTTTTTCCAGTGCTGCTGGAAAGCTGAGAAATAGATGTAGATAAACGAGACAGAGGTATTTACCTACATCTCTCCACTTGATGCAAAAGTTGCATGCAGCTGGAATTGAAATTGTGATATCAAGCTCAGCTTGATTCAACAGCATTTATACAGGCAGAGTTTATGAAATACAGTGAAAAAGTGCCTGAAAGTGGATTCCTGTATAAGTCACAAATTCGTTGCCATGAATAATGTAAAAACCTGTAATGGCAAATAACTGTGACATTTCAGTCACAGTGGAAAACCTGCACAATAGATTACTTTCATACCTTAGAGTGATCAGTTCACACAGATTACCACTAACCTAGGAACTGGCATTAGTAGGCACTTACCCAGACAAGTGCCTAAGACTAAAACGCAAATGAAATTTTCAAGTACTGTTCGACAACAGAACAGCAACAACATTCATAATATTTGAATTGTGATGAAAAAGAGTCTCAGAAAAAAAGGGGAGAAAAGCTTGCACTGATGTCCTGGCTTGAATTCTTGTTTGATACTACTTAGGCATAGAGTGTATTTTGAAGAAGGCAAGAAAAATAATCGTGATGTGCACTCTTGCTTGACCAAATATCCCCAGATGTCCCCAGTTATGTAAGCCTGGGTTACACATACCAACATTCCCTGGTTGTGACAGACATTAAACCACTGTGTGTTTCTTCTTAAGAACTCGCTTTGGTATTTATTTTGTGTCAGCATCAGTTTTGTATTCTAAATGCTTTTCCTTAGGTGCAGCAACCATATATATATGTTACTCATCAGCTAACAGGATAGTGGTTTCAAAAGGAAATTTTCACGTAACATTGAATAAATAATCCAATTTCAAAATTTGCTTTATAGTAGTAAACATCATAAAGAACAGTGCCTCAGTAGTTTGATAGTTCTACAATACTGCAATAGACAACTATATCATTTACTTTGAGCTTCTTTCCAATTTTTTTTTCACAGTGTAGCTGATCCAGCCCATACTGTTTAGTGTAGAGGTGCTCTTGACAGAGGTTGTCCTCTTTATGCTTTGCAGAAGAGCCTAATACATTGGGACAAGATTTCTTTTGATGCTCTAAAAGCTCTAACAGCATCTCTACCTTCTAAAAGCCAATAAACACTTTGGGAATGCTTTCTTTTGTTATTTCATTCAACCAATACTAGTTCTCACTC